TAGAATAGAATAGAATAGAATAGAATAGAATAGAATAGAATAAGATACTACAGATAAATGCTGGGTTTGTAAATGTGTCTACCTCCCATAGGAAAGGGTAAGGTATCCTGTGGTTGAGAGACAGTATCCTGGAATGGGGGGTAGAAACTTTGGCAGGAAGCAGTATCTACCATGGCAGTCATTTAATGACCAGAAAAGCACCCCCCCCCCCCCCTCCCACCCTAGTATGTGTGGCAACTGAGAGAAAGATGAATTCAAAATTAACAATTATTAGGAAGGAGTTCAAAAGCTAAATGGTTACATCCACAAGGCAGCAACACTTAGCTTATTAATGTTTTTTGGAGACTGAATGTAAAATGCTATGCAGCTCTAGTATGAAACCAGCTGAAGTTCTCGATTATTGCTGAGCTCCCATTCCAGGGATAGGACAGTGTCAGTAGCTGAGGATCATTCTCCCTGACAAAATTTCCTTTTTTCCACAACTCCAGTAAGGAGCAAGCAAATCCCAAGAAAGTCACTATTCAGCAGCACTGGTGGAGGGAGGCAAAGCGGGACTAGAATGATACAAGCAGCATTGTGCCTGAAGCCCCACCCACAATGCATATACATATAAAAAAGGGTAGAGCTTGTGGCATGATGCTATTTTGGTCACAATGACAGTAGGGACAAGAGTTTATGCCATTAGTTGAAGGTGTTCCATACATACTAGAAGAGTCAAGAGCAGGTAGAGCTCTGGAACCCTTTACTGTAGTTTAAAAGGATGGGAGCACCTTAAAAGAGCCAATCTCATTATCTTTGTTTTGGTTCAAAGTCCCATGGGCAGGTGGTGTGCATAAAATGGCTGGAATGATTCCCCCCCCCCCTTCGCTTTTCACAATATTAAGAGTGACCTGGTAAAACTGCCAGGAGATTCAGGACAGTCCTAAGGGGATATTTCCTAAGTAACACTGGCACAAAAAGTAGTTATGTCAGAGAGGGTTTTTTTATATTCCTAAGGGACAAGTCTCTCAATGGGCTCCACAGTCAAGCTCCAAGCAGATAGAGGAGATTTCTGAGTTTCAGTAGCTGGAGAAGAATAAAAGATTGCTACTGCCATCATGTCCTGCTTGCTTCTCAGATGCCTCTAGTTGATTGTTTTAAGAAAGAAGATGCTGACCTAGATAGCTGTTTGGTCTGATCTAGCAGTGCTTTTCTTTCATTCTTTTGAGACTTCATGAAAGCCTCAATCCTAGAATGATTTATCTACAAGCAAGTACCATTACTGTAACTTCAAACTTCCATGTATGTGCTTAGAATTGCAACTTAAGATTTATCAGATTTATCATTCTGATATATGAGGACATGTTAAAAGAAAAAAACAATCACCAGAGTTTTCTAAAGTCTTGTTTTATTTTCTTCTGCCAAATGCAGATTTCTGGCTCTATACATTTTTTTTCAGCTTTAGAGGGCATAAATGCTAGCCATGCAGTTTCTTGTGAGATGCATTCAGGAAAAGCAGCCGTGTGTTTACCAATTACAGATCTTATGTCCATTAATTATTGTGACATAAGAATAGCATACAATAACAAGCATGCTATGGAACATAAAAGAATACTGAAATAAGAAAATTGAATCAGAAGAGGCAAGGCAGGTGGTAACAAGAAAAACAACTTTCCATGGATGCTCTCTATCTCCATTTATTATTATTATTATTATTATTATTATTATTATTATTATTGACATTTGAAGAAAAAATGTTCTTGGAACTTCACTGTCGTACTATTTATTTATGTATTTATTTATCTATGGACCTGATTTTTATCCTGCTTGTTGTTCTTTTTTAACATTTGTTTTAAATTGTTTTACTTTTTCCTTTTAAAATTGTTCAAATTATTTATGCATTGCCCAGAAAACTGTGCCAAAGAAGTACAATCAATAATAGTAACATAACTCCCAAATACCTAATGCAAAATCTTAAGTTATGTCGACAATCTGTAAAGTGGAAAATAACAGTGCACTACAATCTGTCAATGCATCCCGTATCCGATCTAGTCATCCCTCATCCTACTTTTTCCAAGAGGTCCACACTGCTTTTTCAATACCTGATTGGAGTGAAAGGATTTCCACAAATATTGAGGTACTCACAATAGAATCTATTTTCTCATTAAAAAAAAATACAGCCTAAATGTTTTATAAATCAGTGGCCAATCTGAGAGATATTAATACCTCAGAAAAGATTGAAAGTTAGGATTACTTGCAATTCTGATATGAAAGTTGGAAGAAACCCAACAAATACGAAAATATAAAACACATTACAACAGGGCCGGCGTAACATTTTGCATTTTAAAAGGCAATGTACTATTCTATAAAAATGCAAAGCAGTGCAAAACCTCTTGTATATATTTCTCCAACAAATACATGGCAATTTTCATCAAGGATTAAAATGCATTCATAGTTTCAGTTTTATAAAGATAACTATTAATTAAAAATAAACAATAAATTCACAGATAAATATATGTTCATTTCCCTCCATGTTGCTGTTCTGAACCACTGTTCTTGGAACAATAAGAATTTGCTCATATAAGCATAATATTTATAATCAAATGCCACATGTATAACATTTCCTTACCACTGCTGGAAGTCTGCTGTGGCCCTGTGCAAGCTCTTAGCAGGTATGAATTTGGAGAGAACTCCTCATCAGGATTGGTATCCATAATTTGATGGGAAGTATTGCTGTCTAGCAAGGGCATCTGGCAGCTAACTGGTGGTGGATTATGGGAACTGGGCAGCTGAGCAGATGGGAGAAGGCTAGACGAGGATGTAGGTGGAATGGGACGACCTGAGAAAGAGGACAGAGGATCAAAGTTCAGCAGTGAATGCAACAAAAGAAAACACAAACAGTAACACTGAAATTGTCAGTGTGCCCAGAACACAATCGCTTAAAAAGGGTCAGGTAAGAAAGTGCATCCATCAATTGATTTGCCATCAATGATATTTTCAAAGAGATTCATGGAATTGTAATTATCCTTTGGTCACAACATCCTAGAAGAATAATTCAACTTGGGAACATTTTGTAACTTTTCTTTTTGTACTGAACCAAGAACAACAACAATAACTACCACCACTATTAATGATAGAGAAACTGGGTTATAGGAAGGAAGGAAGGAAGGAGGGAAGGAGGGAAGGAGGGAAGGGGAAGGAAAGGAAAGGAAAGGAAAGGAAAGGAAAGGAAAGGAAAGGAAAGGAAA